TTTTTTATTTTTTAATTTTAAAAATTTCTTTTATTTTATTTTTTTCCTGAAACTTGGGATTGAACCCAGGGACTTTGCACTGAGCTACATCCCCATCCCTTCTGTAGTTTTCATTTTCAGACACCGTCTTACTAGTTACTAAGTTGCCCAGGCTGGGCCTGAACTTGCTATCCTCCTCCTGCCTCAGCCTCCCAAAGTGCTGGGATGACAAGCATGCTTCAAAATTTCTTTTATTTTATTTTTTTCCTGAAACTTGGGATTGAACCCAGGGACTTTGCACTGAGCTACATCCCCATCCCTTCTGTAGTTTTCATTTTCAGACACCGTCTTACTAGTTACTAAGTTGCCCAGGCTGGGCCTGAACTTGCTATCCTCCTCCTGCCTCAGCCTCCCAAAGTGCTGGGATGACAAGCATGCTTCACAGCGCCCAACTTGATGTTAGTGTCGTGAAGTGTCCATTATTCGGTGGGTTGTGGACGCCTGCACAGGACAGGAGGAGTTTGAGAGCGGTAGTCTGTGAGGGTGGCAGGTGTGGGGAGGGAGGAGCAATCTTCTCGGTGCTGAGGGGCAGTGCTCCCCGTAGGGAGCCTGGTCTTGGGCACAGCCACTGAAGAGCTGTTGCTCTGTGACGTGGAGTCTGCTGGAGTGGGGAGTGGGGGCCTGTCCTAGGGACCATGATTGCCACGCTGGGCCGTCCTTGCTGCCTGCCCCTTGGCAGTGCCCAGTACATCTGTGGTCATCGCAGGGCCCCTGTGCATGCTGGTCTCGCCTGTGTGGAGCGAGTGGCAGTGTGGAAGGCTCAGGTGGCAGTGGGGCAGGCAGCTGGCAGGGTTCTGGGAGGACAGAGGGTCAGTGGGCCATGCTGGCCCCAGGTGGCAAGGCTGAGGTGGGCGGAGAGCACCCCCCGGGTGCTCTCATATGCTACGGAGTCTGCCTCAGGGCAGGAGGGCCATGCTGCCCCTTCCTGTGCAGGCCTCAGGCTATGGCATTCCGTGGCCCGTGCCAGGGCTGTCTGCCTTGGGGAGGCAGGTGCAGGGCTCCCTTAGGACATGATGTATCCTGGGCTTGGCCGTGTGGCACAGGCCACCGAGAGTGCAGAGCTGGCGGTGGGGCCCAGGGACTGCCTGCTGTGTGCCCTTTGTGCCAGCTCCTCTGGGGCTCCATCCTCCTTCCTTCCTGTCTCTCCACTCTGTGAGGTGCCCCTTAAGCTACTGGGGCCCCTGGGCCTCCACGCCCACTGCCCACGGCCCCCACCGCTGGGCCCGGGGTCTCAGGCTGTGGCCCTCTCCCCGCCATTGCACTCCCTCCTCAGTACAGGCACTGTCGCCTGGTCTGGAAGCCAGTGGGACACGGAGGGACCTATGGCCAGTCTGCAGATCCAGCCGGTATGGGCTGAGGGGACTCTGCGCTCCTTCCGCGTTGGGGCTGGGGGCTGCTGCTATTACTGACAGCAAAGGGAAAATATTTGAAGTGTGTTTCCCAGCGTCACTGTTCTCTGCACTTTACCCTGGGCTGTGTCAGTGGCATTTCTGTCAATTTAGAACGAACCACGTGTGCTTCAAGACAGAAGAGGTAGGGGCTGTGGTTGGGCCACAGCCCTTAGCCTGATAGGTGGGTGCCACAGCCTGGAGGGAACCAGGAGTCAGTGGGCTGATGCCATCCGTCTGTCCCTCTGCCCATCTGTCTGTCTACGTTGGGGCATGGTTCCCACGCGGCAGGTTCAGAGCTGTGTCTCTGTGAGATGTGTATGTGTGTGTGTGCACGCACGTGCCAGTTCGCACAGCAGGTGAGCTAGGTCTTCCCTCCACGCTGTGGCCTGGAACCGTGAGCTCCCTGGCATCTGCTCCCATCTGTCATAGGCTTTTCCAGGACTTGGTGAAAACCAAGAGTCCAGCAGTGGGAGTTCACTAGGTGTATGGAAGCAGTGCTGTCTTCCAAACGCACTCTTGGTTTTGCTAATTTGGGTATTTTATGGTGTTTCTGATGAATGCGTTCATTAACTGTCACCATGACGAAGGCAGAAGTCAGTACTCAAGACCAGAGCAGAAACTGCTGCAGACTGTAAAGATGAGAAATGACTCTGGGACTTGACGGGGGCCTCCTCCGCAGGGTCCCCCGGCTTGCAGCTGAGGTACACAGTGGGCCCCGAGTTCCTGAAGCCAGGCGAGCAGCGCTGGTTCCTCCGCTACCTGTCTGCGCAGACGCTACAGATCGACGTCTGGGACGGGGATTCCCTGCTTCTGGTTGGATCAGCCGCTGTCCCCATGAAGGTAGTGGTTTCCTGCCCAATGGGAGGGCTTGGTGCATGTCACCCTGAGACCAGCCACGCTGCCTCGCTGGCGGCAGTGTCCCATCCAGCACCCCCAGCCTGGCAGCCACGGAACAGGGAGACCCCGGATCTCTGCGCCTTCTCACCGCGTGTACCCGTGTGCCTCCTGCCTTCCTTCCCGACTGGTCCCTGGGTGTTGTCCCTGCTGTGTGTCCAGCGTGGTCCTGATGCTGTGCTGTGGAGCCAGGCTGCTGCAGGCGTGGTCCCCACTGGGGTGGCCTTGTCCCCCTGCCCTTGCCCTTCTTTGCTGTTGCCTCTGGGGATGGCATGAGAGTCCTTTCATCTGATGCTGGGCTGTTGGACACAGACTTGGATGAAAGTCGAATGAATGAAAAGTTGAAACGGAGTCACTCTGGGATCCCGGGACCCTGGGCCCCAACCACTGAGCATGCTCTGCACTGAGCAACCCACCCGATACCCTCTGAGGAGTTTGTTTCCTGGTGCTGAGGCGGCCTAGCATTCTATCTCCTGTTCCCCTTTCTGATGTCGTGGGGTTAAATGGCACCCCTCTTCTAGCACTGCTGGGGCTGCTTCCAGGCATCCATGGCTGGCAGCCTAACGCAGCCCCTGCCCAGCCCTTTGGGTGATCCTGTTGTGGATCTGTTTCCAGAGGGAACCGCAAAGCAAGGGCCATGCTAAGTGCAACAACAGCTGGGTTCTTAGCGGGTTCCACTCCACCCCGCATTCCTTACTGCTCTGCTCCCACATGGCCAACGCCCCCAGGTGGCAGGACCAGCACGGGAGGGCAGCATCCTGGCTCCCCTGCCTTTACCACACGATGCCTTGTTCTCATTTTGACTTCCTTGCTTCCCAGTGCGGCTGAATGTTGTTTTTCTAATTCCTGGCCTTTGGCCAAAGGAGCCCTCTTGAGTTTGGGGGTGAAGGGGCTGCACAGAGTTGGTGGGCTGGGCAGTGTGCATGAGCATCGCTGGCCAAGCAGGCTGCCCGGGGACAGGAAGCCCCAGGCTCTCCATGGGAGCTCAGGGCGGGCATCTCTGCTCCCAGACACAGAGAAGCAAGAATTGCTAAAGCTGGGACCTTAATCTGGCCCCAATCTTCCATTTATGCATGAGGGAGCTCAGTCAGGAGCCCATGGTCCCCTGCAGCAGGGCTCTGTGGGTGCCCTGTGACATGCAGAGGGCATGTGGTGAAGGGCCCTGCTGGCCAGGGTCATGTGCATTCCATGTTCACCCTGCCTAGGCCACCCGCCTGGCACAGAGCTCCTCACCATTCGCCCCCTCCCTGGGGCCCCTGTCCGGCGGCCCCTGGACCCTTGCTCTGGCCGTGCTGGGTCCACCCTCCCTGGCCTCCCAGCTCTTCTGGGCACCTGGCCTGCAGCCTCTGCCCATGGCTCAGCTTTGTTCTGCAGGTCCCATCTGGGTTTCTGTCCTGGAGACTCGAGGCCCAGGGCCTCTGCCTGTCCTGTGTCCCTTTTGCGGCCTCTCCTCCCCGCTCTGCGCTGTTGAGTGGAGGTTGTGGGAAAGACCTTGTGTTATCGAATCTCGGTTTTTAAGTAACCTCCGCCTTGGGTCCCTCTGGCATGTGGTCAGGCCCATAGGTCCCTCATGCTCATTCGCACACCTCCATGGCTCTTCCGGCTGGGCTGGGCACCGGCCTTGTCCCCCTGTTGGGCCACCTGGCTGTGGGCCATGGTCACAGGAGCACTTTCCCTTCTGCAGCATCTCCTCCGCCAAGGCCGGCCGGCTGTGCAGGTCGCCCACGAACTGGAGGTCGTAGCCACTGAGTATGAGCAGGACACCACGGCGCTGAGCGGAGCCATGTCTGGGTTTGGCAGCGTCAAGCCCATTGGGGTCGACATGGTGGTGAAGGGCCGGCTGCACCTGACCTTGGCCAATGTGGGTGAGTGTGGCGGTCACACATCGCCAGGCTGGAGCAGGGACCACCGTCGCGTTTCCTCAGGGCACCGGTGTCTGGGGGTGGGTGGGTGTGGGTGGCTGGTCCATCTCTCTGGGTCTGGGGCTCTCTGGACTCCAGAGGTCAGAGGCATCTCGGGCTAAGGCCAGGGGCTGCTGCACCCCCTGGGTGGAGTCTCCTGACACTGCTGCCCTCCCTAGAGAGCACCCTTAAATGTTCAGGGGCTTCTGGGCATGCAAAATGGAAAACACAAGGGGACTGTGTCCTTGGAAGTTTCTGGAGTCCTGTCTGGCAGTGGGGAGAGGGGGCTCGATGAAATTTTACTGGGGAATTTTCCACACCCCAGAGACCCGCCCGGTTTTCAGTCCCAGAGACCTGTGGCCTACTCCCAACTGTGGGACAGCGCAGGGGGGCAGTGGTGGTGGTGGAGTGGCACACAGCTCATTAAGCCCGGCCAAGGTTCTGCCTGCTTGTTTACAAATGTAGAATCCAAGGCAGCTGCAAAATAGACAATATGGAAACAGCAAAACTCAATTAGGCTCTGAAGAAATAAATGAGCCTCGTGTGGGGGTGGACACTCCTCAGGGCGTCCTGCTCCCCGGGCTGCGGCAGTGGAGATTTTATACTTAATGCACCAGTCCACAGATGTGCAGTGACGCCAGGTCTTAGAATCTTATCTTCAGAAGAAAGATGGGCCCCACTCCGTGTTATCTTACGTTGTCATTTTCATACTTTGCCTGTGAGAGAGAGATAAGCCCGTCAGGGGCAGAGGCCAGGACAGGCAGTGCCCGGGACTCGTGTGCTGCGATGTGGAGAGCTGCTCCTGTGGACAGGCGCTCCCACCGCCATGCTTGGCCTCCTCTGGTAATGCTGTGTATTTTGAGGAAAAGAAGAGTCATGGCGCTTATTTCCCCATTGAGCTGGTGAATGCGTGTGAGCAGTGGTGTGCGCTGGCTGCCGTGACGCCTGTGGGAGGCTGCAGGGAGACAGTGACAGAACTGTACCCAGCTGGTTCTCAGCGTGTCTGGGCATCCGCCGGGTCCCCCCAGGGCGGACAGGGCGACTGTCCTCAAGCTCCTGGGGAAGGGCTGGGCAAGGGTTCTGCATCTGGCTCATGAAACAGCTGAAGCAGGCATCCGAGTGCCAGCACCTTCCAGAGTTGCCTTTGGAGCTGTGATTTTTGAGGACCTGGAAAGGAGGAGGTTGCAGGGCCGTGTGATAGAGCCTGCTGGGGGTCGCGGGGATCGTTCCAGATGACCAGAGTGGATGGAAGGGACCCTGCAATACTGTCTCATAGGCTTGTGGGTGCCAGGCTTTTGCTGGAGCTGCTCCTTGTGCCTGCAGCTGCCGGCCTGCCACCCCTGCCTGCACATTGAGGCCTCCACGGGCTGGTCTTTCTGGGTCACTGGCCTGCTATTGCTTCTGCCTTCTGGTCACCAGTTGTCACTGAGAATCAGGACTCTGGCCACTGTTCCCTCAGGCCTGGAGGGGCTGAGGATGCCTGGCCAGGGCCCCAGGAGACGTCCTACTGGGCTCCCTGGGGAGGGTGGCACCCTGTGCAGTCCGTCTTGGTTCAGAGCTGCTGTAGGGAGACATCTGTCTGCCAGGCAGTTGGAGCTGTCACCCTGCTCGCTGGGCTGGGTAGAGGGTGTGCCCGCCTGCACAGGCACACGCCTGGCATGCCTAGCACTGTGCTCATTAGCCCAGAGAACAGCAGTGCTGCAGGCAGGGAGGGGCCAGCTGTAGGTACCCTGTGGGTGGGTGTGCGGGAGGGAGGAAGAGGGTGGAGGTTGGGCGGAAGGTCTCCTGCTGCTGAGATACCCAGGAAGGTGCCAGGATGCCCAGTCCTGCGGGTGTTCGACACCACCCTGATAGGCTGGGCAAATTGACAGCCTATACATCACCCTGGGTCCTCACAGGAGTGTGTGCGTGGGTGTGCACTCCCCTGTGGGTTCTTGTCCCTTTGCAGATTCCTGGATGGCACTTCCGTCCACCTGGGGCAGCTGTAGCTGTGGCGGCATCTGCTCTGGGGATGTGTCACCAAGGCCACACCGCTGCCTGCATTAGGGAAACAGCTGGGTGGGAATACACCTGGGCAGGCTCCTTGTCCTCAGGTGTGCACATGCCCAGGCCTGGCTTCAAATGGTGCCCTCTTCTGGGAGAGGCTGAGATTACAGGTCAGAGACCCCATGTGGTGATCCTGACAGAACAGCATGGGAGCCAGAGTGCTGGGTGGGTGCAAATCTGCTGATGCAGGGTCTGGGAGAAACATCTTGCTGTTTTCCTCGAAGATATGCTCAGAGCAGCAAGGTGGGGACAGGGTGTCGATGGCACCACAGGCCAGACCTTGGGAGTGGGGGTGTCTGATCCATTCCATCTGAGCCCCCTTGGTCTCAGGGCCTCATACCTGGTGCTTCTCATTCAGGTCACGCGTGTGAACAGAGAACGACAGAATCCTGCTCGCTGCCACCACCCAGATCTCGGGTCATCTCGAATGATGGAGCCGGCCGCTTCCCTGGGGGCAGCCTCCTCACGCGGGGAGGCCTGAGATGTGAGTGAGTGCCATGGCCCCACGTGGGTGATGGCACACGGTGCAGGCGTGTGTTTGCGTGTGTGCGGTCCTCCTTCCTCTGCATCTGGGGTGCCTGTTTCCAGCGCGGGGCCCTGACAGTGGCCCTGTGTCCCGCAGGCTGCGGACCTCTGTGTCCCTCCAGGCGGGGCCTGGCAGCCAGCTGTGTTGTTTTACAGAGACACAGTCCTGCCGGTGGCCTTGTGTGTGCTCTGCTGCCACCACAGGGAAGGGAAACCAGGGAAAGGTCAGGCTGAACGTGGGCTGACTTTCAAACATGGCTTTCATACTCCCTGTTGGTTTCCTAACTAGTTATGGGGCTCAGGGAAGACAGATCTGGGTGAAAATACTTTCTACACCAGGGATCCTCTGCTGAATTCTGTCCCCTTAAAATTGAAGAGCCCACAGGCCTGAAAACAAACGTCCATCATTTGCATTAGAGGTGGGCCGTGCTCTCCCAGGAGTTTGCCCCAAACATTGCATCGCCTGTGTGAATCCCAACCTGGCCTGAGCTGTCCCGTGTGGCTGGGCCTCAGAACCCATTGGCCTTGGACTGGGCTCTAGCTTGCTGGAGAGGGCAGGGCCTCTGCGTCCTGTGCTGCAAGGTCTTGGGGACCCACAATCCGGTCCCGGGAACTTCCGGGTGGGGTCGTGTGCTCAGCTGGTGCTGTCAGCCACTCGTGACCCAGGCATGTCGAGGCCGTTCTGGGCCTGCACCCTCATCCTAATGTCAAATACAGTGGGGCAGAGTGTGCTGAGGTGATCCGGCCAGTGATGTGGGCAAGTGGTGAGCTTGGACCGGGACCTGGATCCCCAAGCCAAGAAAGCTGTGATCCAGAGGCTGTGGGTTGGGGCTCAGTGACCCCAGGGGTGGCCCGTGAGGACCTGCTGGGAGGAGTGGCTGGAGGAGACATTCTCCAGAGAGGCTCTGGGATCAGAGGTTCTGCAGAATGTAAGAAGGCTCCAGTGTGCCCGGGAACCCCCATGGTCACCCTGGAGCCTCACTTCTGGTTCTACTGGAGGAGAGGCATTTGTGGGGGTGATGCTTTCTGAACAGTTGAGCTCATCCTGATCTTCCCAGCCCCTCCTCAAGGCCGGGCCGTGGGCATCTCAAACCTGACTCCGGGCTGCACCCCAGCACCACAAATGCTCTTCCTGGGCAGTGACTGAAGATGCCCAAACTGGCTCCTGGCATCAAAAAAGCGATTAGATGGCTTTAAATGGAGTAGATTCGAGGCTTGGAGATGGCATTTGTGTCCTTGTGGTGAGGGAGTGGTGGGGAGAGGAATGGCTTCCAGGGTGGCTGTGGACACTTGCTGACTGGCATTGGAGCTGCCTGGGGATCCGTGCTAGCTATGGTTTCCCATGGGAAACTTCTGGTGGTGCCAGGGTTTTTTTTAGGGGGGGACCTGGCCCTAGGCTGGGATACTCTCTCTGCCACCTTGCCTAGACTGTCAGCTTGGGAAGTGGTATTATCTCTGAGCACAATTCCTGAGACCCCAGCTGTATGGGAGAACGGACAGCTGTGGGGGCAGAGCTGTTCACCTGCTGCTGAGTGGCTCCCTCTGTGCCCTGTATAGGAGTAGAGCCACTCCTGGAGGAGTGGGGCTGCCCTGGGGCTCAGGCAGCCCCAAGGCAGCTGGGGGGTAACTGTGGGCAGGCCTGGCCTGAGTTCCCTCAGCCCTGATCTGCTGGGAGGCCTCAAGGGGGCCCTAAGAGCCCCCTTTCCTGACCTGAACTCCCATTCACCAAGGTAGCTGAGAGCTCCAAGCTCCGCCTAGTGTACAGAGTAGCTGGAGGGGTGGAGTGGGGGTTCAGGGGGCTCCCTGGAGGGCTGCCTGAGCTGAGGCCATGATCCTGGGTGACCAGGATCAGACTGATTTTCATGTGAGAGGCTGGCAGGAGGGGCGCCATAGAGCTTAGATGCCAGTCCCCATCTTTACCCTCGGCTGGAAGCACGGAACAGACCTTCATGAAGGGTGCTGAGTACCCTTGGGAGAAGGGTGCTGGGTGCCAACCCATGTCTGACCTCCTTGGCAGGGAGGAATGTGGTCCAGGCCCAGAGGCTGGCCGACGTGGACAGTGAGCTGGCCGCCATGCTGCTGACCCCTGCGCCAGGTGGCCGGGGACCCTGGAGCAGTGGCCACGAGGTGGATGCTGTGCGCAGGCGAAAGCTGGAGAGGATGAGGTCCGTGCGCCTGCAGGAGTCGGGGGCGGAGCCGGTCAGCCGCAGGACAGCGGTGCTGGTGAGGGCTTCCGCCGCAGGACTGGAGACCAGGTCCTTCAGAGCTGTCCTCTCCAACCCTCTACCCAGTCCTGGTGCAAGGAGAGGGGATGGTGGGATTCTGCGCCACCAGGGTGAGAAGCTGGCTCATGCTTGGCCTGGTGGAGCCCTCATTTCGCTGAACATCAAAATAGACCCTTTGACAGTTTGCAACTAAGGCAGGGCAGCTGGCTGAGGTGGTGCAGGCCTGTAACCCTTGCATTCTTGGAGTCTGAGAGGCAGGAGGATCGCAAGTTTGATTCCAGCCTGGGCAATTTAGCAACTTAATGAGATTTTTGTCTCAAAAGAAAAAAATAAGGGTTGGATATATAGCTCAGTACAGAGGCCCAGTACTAGTAGGGGGAAAAAAAGGAAACAAGGAAGAGAATATTTGTACTGGGGTTTGTAGAATGAAGGAGCTGCAGGAGTGTGAGGAAGAGTCCATTGGTCCCGGTACATCAAGGCTGGCCTGTGTGTGAGCCACAACTACTGCCCCAGCGGCTCCAGGGGAGAGCCCATGCCCACGGCTAAACGCGGGAGCATGTGGGGAGACCCCACCCCCATGGGCAGTGGTGCCAGGTGAAGGGGAGGCGGCCCCTTTTCCTGCTCCAGTGCCAGCCATGGCCCTGGAGTGGAGTGGCCTGTCCCCCAACCACAGGGCCAAGAAAGGGGCAGTGGTGCTGATTTTCCAGAAGAAATTGGCCCCGGGAGGGCTGGCCACCCAGGGCACTGAGGGAGGGGCCCTTGTGTCCACAGGCCCAGCAGAGCGTGCGCATGCAGCACTCTCGAGACCTGCAGGTCATTGACGCCTACCGGGAGCGCACCAAGGCGGAGAGCATTGCGAACGTGCTGAGCCTGGCCATCACCACGCAGCACACGCTCTACGCCACGCTGGGCACAGCCGAGTTCTTCGAGTTTGCCCTGAAGAACCCCCACAACACCCAGCACACGGTGTCCATCGAGATCGACAACCCCGAGCTCAGGTGAGAGGCCTGCGCCTGCCCACGTCCAGCCTGTCCTGTCCCACCAGGGCTGGCTGGCTCCTCACCACTTCTCCCTTCCCGCAGCCTCATCCTGGACAGTCAGGAGTGGAGGCATTTCAAAGACGCCGCCAGCCTGCACACGCCGCTGGAGGAGGACATGTTCCACCTGCGTGGTGACCTGGCCCCCCAGCTCTACCTGCGCCCCCGGGAGACCACCCATGTCCCCTTCAAGTACCAGAGCTTCTCCATGGGCCCCCTGGAACCAGCACAGGTGCTGGGCACGGGCAGAGCGGGATCTCTGTCCCTGTTCTCAGTCTCATAGTGTCCCCAGGTCCACAGAAGGTGGGATGGGCCCTTAGTCCCTGTGTGTCCCCTTGTCCTGCTGAGGCAGGCTCTCTGCACCCATGCCCCACTGTCCTGATCCTCTGCAGGGACAGGGATGTAGGAATGGCTTCTCCTGTAAACCTGGGCAGGGCTTGGTCCCTCATGCGTTTGCTGTGCACAGACTCAGCCTGGGGTGTGGGGGTCCCCAGGTGTGCGCATGGGGGCAGGGTGCATATTGTGGTTTCTGGCTGAGCTCTTATGTGGCTCTGGCTGAATGTGGCCAGGCCGCAGGACAGAGGTGATGGCAGGCAGAGTGGGGATCATGCCAGTCTGTCCCTGAGACACGGCCCTTGACAGACTGCTCTGCTGCCTCCTGATGGATGAGGCTGGTTAGGGAGACAGTGTGTCATCGTGGCCCGTACCATGATTGCCTGTGTGGACCGGCTTCTTGCAGGCCTTTGCTGATCTGAGCACTGAGAAGGGCAGGGAGGCAGGAGCACCCCGGAAGTCCAGTGCTGTGCCCACTAAACATGCCAAGGTAAAGGGGTAGAGGGGACACCCTGTGGTTCCCAGGCCGTGCTGTGAGCCACGGGTCCTCTTGCCAACTTGGTGAACCTTTCCTTAGTTTGTCCCAACCCCACCACTTTCTCTGCCATCTGTAGAGGGCTCCTGGCTGATCTCGGGCAGGGCTGGGCAGCAAGGGCCTGTGGACGGTCACTGCTGTCCCGAGGACAGCTCAGTGAAGTCCAGTGGAGAGCGGCCCTGCCCAGGACCATCGCCAGGGAGGCCTTGCTTTACTCCCTCCTGTGGAACTTGGCTTCAGCTTTGCAGAGGTTGCTGTCTGCTCCTCGTCTCACACTTGGTCTAAAACAGTCTGGTTCTTCCTCTCGATGCACGGGGAACCCCAGCCACCCCATCTGCAGCCCCAGTAGTTTGGGAGGAACATCTTCCCCTGACAGCTGAGACAGCTCAGAGATAGAAGCCGTCACAAGCCCGTGTGCCTGTCCTGAGGCCCAGGCTGCCACCGTCCACAGGTCCTGTTCCGAGCGAGTGGTGGCAAGCCCCTGGCTGTGCTCTGCCTGACCGTGGAACCCCAGCCCCACGTGGTGGACCAGGTCTTCCGCTTCTACCACCCGGAGCTCACCTTCCTGAAGAAAGCCATCCGCCTGCCTCCCTGGCACATGCTTCCAGGCAGGTCCCTTTGTCCCTGCAGCTGGCAATGTCAGGCTCGGCCTAGGAGAGCAGGCGTCTGTCTCCCCAATGAGGTGTGAGACAGCACCATGAGGGGCTGTGACTCCTGCCACCTGCCCTCATAACTTGACACGGGTGCTTCTTGCTGCCTCTGAGGTAGCAAGGTGCCCACTTGGTGGTACGGTGGTGACTCCTGAAGTCATATGGGACTCAAGGCTCGTGCTGGGGATGCTGCTTCCTCACGATGGCTCAGTGTTGTCTGCCTCTGCCCTTGACACCACTTCCGTTTGCCTGGTCCTTTCCCCTGTGGGTGGCGGGTTAGGCGGCACCCTCATCCCCATCCCTGTAGCCACCCACCACGTGTGTGCCATGCCAGGGTAAGGTGGTGGTGTGGTCCCCACTCCCTGTTCCAGGTGCTCCCTTGGGAAGACCTGGGGAAGAGCCAGCAGTCCACGTGCGGTGCAGCGACCCAAATGTCATCTGCGAGGCCCAGAGCGTGGTATGTCCTGTTGGCCCCTCAGCAGGGCCTCCCGCAGTCCCCTCCAGCCTCCGGCAGCCGCCTGTGCTGGCCTCGGGCAGAGTGACTTCTTGCCTGTGCTGAGGGTGTTGGACAGTGCCGCGAGAGCTCTGAGAGTGAATCCTGTTTTCTCTGCCAGCAGCTGGGCTCCCTGCATTTAGATGCTAAGAAACGGCAATTAAGGCACTTATTAATTGCCACTGTGCTAAGGATAACAGCAATAATTGTGTTATGACAGGTTAGGAAGCCAGATAGAATCTGTAGAATGTAATTATTGAAATCAATATAAAATCAAGAAGACAGCGATTTTCTCTTGCAGTGAACAAAACAGCGACTGCTGCTAGTGCAGGAGTGAGCACACTGGTGGGTGGGACTCACACCTGCCAGAACCCCAGCCTGAGCCCTGTCAGACCCGTGAGAGGTGGCGCTGGCGTTGACACATTCCACATCTGCACACAGGGCCCCGGGGAACCCCGGGATGTGTTTCTGAAGGTGGCCAGCGGTCGCAGCCCAGAGATCAAAGACTTCTTTGTGATCGTTTATGCGTAAGTGCATAAGCTCAGCGGAGGGGGCAGCTTGGGAGAAGGGGTGAGGGGTGGGGGAGGGCAGGGGGAGGGCCCATCCTGTCCTGTGTCCCATCCTGTCCCAGACACTGGGCAGGTGAGCTGCGGCTCTGCACTGAGGGCTGTGGCTCAGGCCCTGGAGAGGGCATCCCCAGCTCCAGGGTGGCACAGGTGGCCAGAGGGACGTGGGTGCACTGTGAGCCTCCAGTGGTAGGGTAAGGTGACTTGTGCCAGCCAGGGCCAGGAAGGACCACGGCTCTCCTTTTAGCTCTTGGGCGATTTGCATAGCTGCTCCTGTGTGGCAGAAAGTGGTGACCGAGGGGTCCCTGGGATTCTATCTCCCGGTTGAACCTCCCAGAGCAGCCCCTGTACTGTTTCCTCAGAGCTCAGTTTCCCAGCCCTTTGCAGGCCTTTAAAAGGGGGCCTGGCAGTTCACTGTGTGGCTTCTGAGGAGTGAGGGCCGCACCCCCACATCTCCACACCATGAACTTGTCACTGAGTGGGTCTTGTGACAGCTTTACCGTGAGGCTCTGTCCCTGCGTCATCTAGCAGTAAAGCTGGTAGTTCTGGCTCTGGGGTGGTGCTGGGGCCTGGGACGGGTGAGGATGCTTGTCCCTCCATAGGGACCGCTGGCTGGCGGAGCCCGTGCAGACGTGGCAGGTCTGCCTCCACTCCCTGCAGCGTGTGGATGTCTCCTGCATCGCGGGCCAGATGACACGCTTGTCCCTTGTCCTCCGGGGGACGCAGACCGTCAGGAAAGTGAGGGCCTTCGCCTCCCACCCCCAGGAGCTGAAGGTAGGACTGCAGGGTGCAGGTCCCGTAGCTGTCCATGTGCTGCTGCCCGCGTGTTCTGGTGACAGCTCTGAGGGGGACTTGCCCACATAGGCCTGGGAACCAGGACATGGTGGGGCTGGGAGGCAGAGGCCTCAGGTCTGGGCCCCTGGCTGGCTGAGAGGTGAGATCCGTGGATTCGGCGATGAACATGGCTGGGGCGCCGGGAGGCTGCTGCCTGGAGCGGAGGGGCTTCACGCTGACCACTCTCTTGCCCTTGCAGACGGACCCCGCAGGTGACTTTCTGTTGCCCCCGCATGGGGTGCAGGACCTGCACGTGGGTGTGCAGCCCCGCAGGGCTGGCAGCCGCTTTGTGCACCTTAACCTGGTTGACGTGGACTTCCACCAGCTGGTGGCCTGTTGGCTGCTGTGCCTCTCCTGCCGCCAGCCACTCATTTCCAAGGTCTGGACAGGGGACACACAGGTCCAGGGCATGGGGGTGCTGCTGCGATGGTGACAGGGAGTCACTGGGTGCCACTCCCTGTGCCCTGGGCTGCCTTGACGGGGGCTCTGTGCACAGCTGGTGGGAGGGCAGCCTCGGAAGGGGCCTGTCTTGCCCGCCCAGACCAAGGCCCCTCTGGGCCAGGTGCTGTACTGGGCTGGCTCTGGAGTAGTGGAGAAGGCCTGATGTCGGTGGCTGCAAATGATGCCACAGCTCTCCTGCCCTTGTCCCCAGGCCTTTGAGATCACCGTGGCAGTGGGGGAAGGCAAGGGCGCTAACAAGCGGGTCACTTACACCAACCCCTACCCAACCTGGAAGGCCTACCGCCTGCACAGCGACCGCCCTGACCTGCTGCAGTTCAGGGAGGACACCTTCCAGGTACGTGCTGGTGGCCTGGGATGGGTGGGGTGGGCTGTGCTGAGGGTCTGAGAGCACAGCATTTCCAATCAGGAAGGAGCAAGGCCCGGGGAGGGCTGCAGGTGTCAGTCCCGAGGTTGTTGCGGCTTCTCCCAGGGGCGGCGGGGCCTCGGTTCCTCCTTAGTGCTGGACACAGCTCCAACTGGAGCTGCGCCTTCAGGCCTGTGCTGACCTCTGGACACCAGAGCTAGTGTGGCCCTGGATGCCCTGAGGGCATCAGTCACCGCTGGGAGCCTGTGTACCCTGTGTCACCCAGGGTCTGGAAGTGACTGGTGAGAAGCCGGCTGCCGCCGGTGGGTGTGACTCTGCGTTCCTTCCAGGTGGGGGGCGGTGAGACCTACACCATCGGCCTGCGGTTCTTGCCGGGCGGGAGGCCAGGGCAGGAGGAGGTCCTGATCTACGTCAACGACCATGAAGACAAGAACGAAGAGACCTTCTGCGTGAAGATCACCTACCAGTGAGCACCGTGTGGCCATCCTGGAACCTGCTGCGGGGGAAATGCCCCTTGGTAGTACCTGTGACGTCTGCATCTGGCTGAGCTGCTGCCCACACCCACCACATCCGCGGGGCCAAGTTCCCTGGCCTGAGCATGAATTCTGGCTGTGGCAGGGGCACTGGTGGCCCTGGCCCTAGCCTCGGCGCATACGAGAACCACTTCATCCCTCCATAGCCCAGGGAGGTCTTCACCGCCTGTAACTTTCTTTTGATTTGCTTTTAGCAAAGTGTATTTTATAAATCATTCTAAGTGATAAAATTATATTTTTCCTACTGGATTTTGTACGAATATAAACTATGACTTGCTCTAGTGTTTTACAGCAGTGTCACTTTGCATTTTTAAATAAGTTACTGAAGGAAATGCCGCACTCCCTTCACTGCTCTGATGGCACTCTCCAGTTCTCCTGCTGCCACCAGGTCACGGGAGCCTGGCGTCCCCGAGGAGGAAGTGCTGAGAGCCCGGGCAAGGCCAGTGCTGGGAGTGGGGACCCCAGTATGCTGGGCAGTGGCCTTTCAGAGGGCTCTGACCCCTGTGGATGTGCCAGTGACCAATGCTCTGATCTGCGAGGCAGGCAGTGGTGACAGTGGTGCTCAGAGCAGAGCACTGGCCGGCCGGCCCTTTCTGCTCAGGGAGTCTTGCATGTGTGCCAGTCAGATGCCGAGGGTTGGAGCCCAGGCCCTGTCTCACGTCCTTGCTTCCCAAGGTGCTGCCCAGTCTCCTGGGCAGAGGAAGCAGGAATTCACCGGCATCTCTTCCCCTCTGGTGCCGGGCTGGGGATGGCCAGCCCTGTGGGGCTCATGGCCAGGGGATCCCAGGCCCGGGAGTCCCCTACTGCTCTCTGCCAGGCCAAGACTGGAAGAGCGGCTGTGCAGGGCCTCAGGCTTTCAGTGCTGGAGGTCGGTGCCCGTGACGCATTCCCACGTATGCCTTGGTGAAATGTCCTCACTCTCACTTGAACTTGCTCTGCAGGACAGTGTGGTGCCTGTGGAGCATTCTTACCATCTTGGTGGGGAGCAGGGAGCCAGCATCCAACGGAGATGGTGTCCCAGGCTTGGGGAGCAGATGGCCGAGTCCCTCCAGGGCAAGCTGGGGCAGCAAGCTCCCTGCGGGCAGGAGGCTCAGGGAATCACTTGGACTGATGAGGGAGCCCCTGGGCCCGTGGGGGAGCAATGGCCTGGCCCAGGCACCTTGGCTGAAGCTGTGCCCCTGCCATACATGGCACTGCTTGCTGCGTCATGTGTCATGCCCTGGAGGGCAGGGTTCTTCCTGAGATGGGCTCGGTCTATGCCCCGGAAATGGCCTTCTGGGAGCCCCAGGCAGGGATCAGGGGGCACGCTGTGTCCCTTCAGTGGCACTGAAGGCTGGGTCTGAAGAAGTGGGGACGTCAGTATTAGGAAGAACTTGTGGTCCTGTCAGCAGCTGACGGGCAGAAGATCAGTGAAGGCCAAGAGCAGCCAGGAGGGTGGAAGGCACAGACCAGAGAGGGCAGGGTGGAGGGTCCGGAGTCTCCTCTGGCCCTGACCCCAGCCCTTGGTCAGCAGCCTGTGTCCCCTTCTTGCTCCTTCCCGGGCCTGGTCTCCCCACCCACCTCCCTCTCTGTGGCCCCTCCTCCATGGCCCCTCTCTTGTGGCCTGTCCTCATCTTGGCATCCTCATGGGGCTTGACCTGGGCCTGGGCACCGTGCACTCCCCTCTTGTGCTGGGGCTGGGGCTGGGTGTGACGTTGGATGTCCTTTTGCCTTTGCACGTGAAGAGACATTGGGGTAGGGGCTTTTCTCCTGGACAGGAAACTCCAGGCTAAGGTTGCTGTGTGCTCTGGGCTGCGAAGGTCAGCCCCATCCTTTCCTTGTGCACCCCAAAATGTCCGGAGAGGATGCTTACAGTACACCAAGACTGACTTCCCTGGGTGATTTACATGAGAAAGCAGCTGCAAGGAAGCACTGGTCTCCCAGCCTCCCTTCACCAGGCTGGAGCCAAACGCTTTCTCCAGCACAAAGCAAGGCCCATCTTTCAAAGGAGCCTTATCATCCCTTTCAAGGGCGTTTCTGGTGTAGGATTTTATTTCCTCCCTCCTCCCACCCGGCTGAAAGCTGCGTTTAGCTAAATGGAGTCAAATGAAAGCCAGATGAGCTGCTTTACTTTCTCACATCTGATGTGATTTAATGCTGTTTGTCTCCATTTAGAAATAAATTAGAGCGCTTTTAAAAAATTGTTATTCTAGAGTACAAGAGGCTGGGAAAACAGTCATTATGTGTCCCCAGCAGTGCTTCCCTTCCCAGTGACTGGTGGAAGTGCTGAGTTCTGACCCAGGGCCTCAGGGGCAGGAATAGTTGGCTTATGTCTGCGGTGGCCTCAGCGCAGTGGAGAGGAACTGCGTGGTCCCTCTGGGTGGTTGGGCAGATGCAGAATGTGGGCACCCTTCTTGCCCAGGAAGGGGCCTGAGCCCCACCTACAGTTGAAATCTTTTTTGGGGGGGTGGGTACCCAGATTGAACTCAGGACATTGTGCTCACTAGGCAGGCTCCACATTGCTGAGGTCCATCCTTGGGCCTGCAGTTGAAATCCAAGCAGTGGATTAATCCACAAGTGCTACTTTTCTATGGAGTTGCTGGAAACTGGTGCCAACAGGGCAAAGATGGGGAGGAGCAGGGTTCATTGCTGCTATCCCTGAAATCCCTGAGCCTCAGTGGGTCATGGTGAACACAGCAGCCTCCCTGGAGTTCCCTCAAAAGCAGTGGTAATTGTGATTTTATCCCCACTATTTTTGCAGAAATGAAGAAGTTGTCAGTGAAGCCACTGCTTCTCCCACATTGGGACAGATTGTCACCATGACTGCAGAGGTGTCCTAGATGTCCCATGGTGCTCCAGGAGAGGTTTACTCTGGTGGAGGCAGACTTGAAACACACCTTTCCCAGATGACTCCACCCACCAACCTCCAGATGTCCCATTCCCCTCTTTGCCACTATTTCAGAAGTCCCCAAGTGGGTCCATCAAAGGAACATGTGCGCCTGTCCTCTATACTCTCTCTGGGTCAGGCCTGCAGGGCTCCCTCCTGTGCCTTTAACCCGTGTACTGCAGCTCAGGTACCTGTAGAGCTTCATTTGGCTCAGTCCTTTTCCCCACTCGTGATTTTTATCCTGGGTAGATTAAGACCAGCAGGTTGCCCTGAAAAGAGCTGCTGACCCCAAGAACTCTCCACCCTGAAGAGCGCCGGAGAGTGGCAGAACAAGGAACCCAGACCAGCAGGGCCCTGCCTCGAGTGCTGGGGAGCCCCAGAGAGCAGCACGAGCTGCTGGAAGGGCTCCAGAGTGGAGCCGGGGGCTACGAGCTGGGGCTGCTCAGGCCAGGAGCCATCAAGAGCTGTGACACTAAGAGCTCAGGTGCTGGTACTCAAAGCTTACAGTTGTGACACTGGTGGCTGCCAGCTGCTGGAACCGAAAGCCTGGAGCCGCTAACATTAACGGAGCCTCACTTTGCCAGTTTATGATTTCTGTCTGAATTGAGCAAGAGAACCCCCAGCTGATGGGAAACACAGGAGATAGGATGGGGCCGTGGAGGAGGTGGCTGTCTTGACGACACAGCTTGACACTGGAGAGGCCTTGATGGGCACTTTCTCCAAACCTCCAGAGGGACCCAGCCCACACCCCTCAATGTGGGAAAATACAGTTCTGTTGTTTGAACCACCACCACCTTTGCAGCAGTTCCTTGTGACAGCTCTCGGGAAGTAACAGAAGGGATTGGGGGCCCCACATAGCCAGCAAATCAAAGCCTTGGGAGGGGAGGCCCCGTGTGGATCTAAGGAATGCCTCCATTAACAGGATGGTGCCTCTGTCCTGTAGAGAAAGCCCCTGGTGGCCACCTCTGGCCAATGTGACCCTAAGCTGCACAAAGGGGCCATTATAGCCTCTCTTGTCTATTACCTGCTGCTGGCTGTCAGGCATTGATCTGTGACTAGAGGTGGTAAAGATGAATTTCATCAAAAGAATTTAGCCTTGTAATGCCTCTGCACTAGTGTAGGGCTTGGCCGGGATTGAATGGTTAAAATGCAGGGCAAAAACATACAAATAAACTGTGGAGCAAAAAGCACTCAGGCTGTGTGAGAATCGAATGGTTAAAGAACATGTAGTTTAGATTAGTGAGGCATGTTGTGTTTGGCCATGTCCTTCCCTTTTCCCAAGAAAAACTGCTGAGCCTTGAGACAGCTCCTGGCCCAAACTACTTTTCTCCTGCTTTTTGCTTTCCCATTCAGATTCTAAATAAAAGCCAGACAGCTCTTGGCTTGGCGGTCTTTTCTTCTCCAGAGTCTCCCTGATGGCTGGGCTCTCTTGGGTGACTTGTAGACTCTATGTACAAAATTCCATGTGTGTGGGGCTTTTTGTGGTAGGGGGATCTGGAGCCTTCATGAGATCATCAGAGCCGTGGGGTCCCCAGAGTGCAAGACTTAGCGCCCCAGGCCCTCAGCTACCTCTTTCTCTCATCTCCACCCCTTGCGCTGTGGCTTTGGCTGTCTTTTTCTGGCTATCCTTTGAGTATGCCCAGTGGGTACTGTCTCAGGGCCTTTGCATGTGCAGGCTCTTCTGCCTGGAGAGCTGCCCTGTGCACTGCCCATCTGGCTTGCTCCAGGCTTTAGTCAGGAGTGAGCTTGGATTCCCCTGAGAGGCCTCCCTGTCTTCCTCCCCTGACATTGCTCCTCACAGCTCTTGTCTCACGGTGCTCTGGCCTTCTTGGTTCACTCTCTGTGGCTGGATGTTGTCAGGCAATGTGGGGTCAGGTGCCACCCTACCTGGTCCCACTGGGCCTTGACTGCTACCTGAATCCTCTGGTGACTGTCTTCACGCTGTCTGTTGGCCTCAGTTTCTACCCCATCCCCGAGGCTGGTGTCTTCCTCTGCCCCGCCTGGAACCTTCCCTCTGGGCCAGTTCTACTCACCTGTGGTTTGTCACCAAGAGACCTCACCAGGCGCCTAAGACGGAAATGTCCCCTGTGACAGGTCACAAATGTGGCTGAGAGCTTCCTTAGCATCCTCCATCGGGATGAGGCCTGTGTCCTCACCTGTGGACCTGGCTGGCTTAGAATATGGCAGGTGTGACAGGGACATTTTTAGCAAGGCCTACTCTCCTGCTGCAGATCCTCAGGCCACCAGGAAGCCAAGGCCACAGGAACCCATGGAGGAGGAGAGGGCTATAAGGAAGAAGGAGGCCCAGGTGCCCCATCTGCCTGCTGATGGCATGAACATGAGTGGCCCAGCCAAGACGCCATGTT